AAACCCCAAACCCCCTAAACCCAAAACCCCCAAAACCCCCCTAAACACTCTAAACCCCAAACCCTATAAACCCAAACCCCCCAAAACCCTAGACACTCTCTTCATATTTAGTAGGATATAGGTGTATTATAGGAGGGGTTAGTTATTCCAGGAGTTATCACATGAATAAACACTCCCCAAACCCTAAACCCTAGACCCTAAACCCCCCAACCCCCCAAAACCCTAAACCCTGAACCCCTAAACCCGATAAGCCCTATAGGCCCTAAGAAACCCGAAAGCTAAACACTCTCAATTTGAACCCCAAACCCAAAACTTTAAACCCCAAACCCCAAACCCACAAAAACCCCTAAACACTCTAAGCTTGACGCCCCCAAACCCTAAACCCTAGACCCTAAACCCCCCAAAGCCCTAAACCCTAAACCCCCCAAAACCCTAAACCCTAAACCCTAAACCCTAAACCCTAAACCCTAAACCCTAAACCCCAAACCCAAAAGCCCTAAACCCTCCAAAGCCCTAAACACTCTCAATTTGAACCCCAAACCCAAAACTTTAAACCCCAAACCCTAAACACTCTAAGCTTGACGCCTGCGAAGCAGCTGCTCGCACTTCATCGGCGGGGTGAGGGCCGCCACGGCGACGACTTCGGCTTTGCTGGCCACCTGGCCGCTCCGTTTAGGGTTTAGGGGTTAGGGTTTAGGGTTTAGGGTTTAGTTGCCCTAAGGCTCTACCCATAGGCCCCAAAGTAGTTCCTTTTTGGGATTACCTTACAGGATTCTCAATATGAGCCCCAAAAAGGAACTACTATGGGGCCTAGGGGTAAAGACCCATATTATAAGGCTTCTGGGCCCAAAGATCAGACAGTATTAGGCTTCTGCTCTGTTTTGCAGCTGAGGGTTTGGGCTTAGGGTTTACCTGGCCCCTAAAGAACCTGGGCTTGTTAGAGCTCCTTATTATGATCTCCTTATCTAAGTCCTTAAAAAGGTAGATTCTTTCGGGTCTAGGTAAGACTTGGAACTTGGGGATAAGGTTGAGGGATACTTAGTACTGTAGGATTTGGGCTATTTTGGGGGCTGTCTGCTGCAGACCTTGCCCCTAAACCCTAAACCCTAAACCCAGAAAAGGCTCAGGGTTTCGGGGCTCGGGAACTTCAGGTCCTGGCCGTCCCGGCAGTGCTTAGGATTTCGGGGTAGGGTTTAGGGTTTAGGGTTTAGGGTTTAGGGTTTGGGGTTTAGGGTTTAGGGTTTAGGGTGTAGTAGGCCTAAAGTGCTGGTGAAGATCGGGGCGCCCTCTGAAATCTTCGGTAACGTCCTGCGATAAATTTATGCGGAGCCGATGGGGGCCACTGTTCCCTGAACCCCTGAACCCCTCAACCGTCCCTAAACCCTTGACCCTAAGCCTTGAACCCCAAACCCTAAACCCTGAACCTTAAACCCTAAGCCCTAAACCCTACACCTTAAACCCTAAACCCTAAACTAAACCTTAAACCCTTAAGCCCTAAACCCTAAACCGTGCACCCTAAACCCAAAACTTGGGGCTTAGGGTTTATACAGGGGTTATGGTTCAGGGTTTAGGGTTTAGGGTTGAAGATTCACAAGACAAGACTTACCGATCCCTTGTAGAACTCCAACAGAACGACCTCCAAGGGGATCAAAAGATGGCTAATGTAGGGGCTCAAAGTTTGGGGGTTTCGGGTCTGGCCTTTCCGCTGCAATCAGCCCCGATGATTGCCGCGATGGCCTTGCACGCAAGGTGCTTCGGCACTACCAAAACATACTTTTGTAGGGTCCCTTCCACAAAACCTGTGGTAGTTTAGGGTACTTAGGGCTTGTGGCGTCCCAAACAACACATCCTTCAATTAACGGGCTCTACATATAGACTGGCTAGAGTTAGACAGTTCTACCTGGGGAGTATATTGAACGCAAGAACGGGAAGCTGCGTTTTGAATAGTTCATGTATGATCGAAAGGTGTCCTAAGCAAGTGATTGCTCCGCTAAAGAGCCAGGGGCTGTCCGGTTTGAGGCTGGGTGGCCATTGTCATTGCTGCTGCAGGAGCTTATGCTTGTGACATTGCTAAATAACGACTATGACTTTTCTCATCCGTCTTACCGATAGCTCCTTCTTTTACTCTCTGAACTCTTGTTACCATTGTGGCCGGCATGTACCTGCAACCCTCCTGCACCTACACAACAGTAGTAGGTTAAGAACCCTTGATGGGAAGGATAAACACTCAAGCAAACAACAAATATCATGTAAGTGGCCGGGGCCCGAGTCTTTACCCTAAGCCCCAAACCCTTGGCTAAACCAGAAACCCTAAACCCTAAACCCTCAAAGCGAAGCCAGAGAGGGGGTTCATGGTTGGGGGCTGAGTAGAGTTTAGGGTTTTACACTATACCTTGAGGACCCAATGACCCTTAAAAGTAGGGGGCCCTATACCCTTACGCTATGTATCCCTATACGGTATATGAGCCTTAAACGCTTTCCAGCTACATGTCGTGTTTGAGGTTAATTAGCCCAAACGTCCAACTCTAGCCCAAGCTACGAAACCTGCGATTCTGTAAGGACTTGTCACAGACTCGAAAACAAATTTGATTGGGGCCCTACCAACAAGTCCTACAAGACCCTGCAGGAATGTATGTGGGAGCTTCAGAAAATTAGGCACTCTCGTGTCAACCTTATATACTCCAACACAAAGGCTCACCCCCCACGCCTACCCATAAAGACGCAGGACAATAGAGTGACAATAGCCAAGTTCCTTGAAAGGACCCAGACAGGCCGAGTCTGTACAGTGAATAGAAGCCGACAGCCAATACAAAACTCCATGGACAATGCAAAGCTGAAAAAGGGGATCCTGCATACATCCCCATAAGCGCGCTACTAAACCGTAGAGGTTCCCTCGTGGGGCCATGCAAAGATAAGGGTCCTCCAGGAGCTTCTGAGAGGCGAAGACGACAACGAGACGCCGCTGCTGCTCAATAGCCCGGCGACGCAAGACCTGGAGCTCGGGTTTCGCGGGGGAAATTGCAGCCTTGTATAGGGCTTTCTAATAACGTCGTCAAAGGATATTCATGAGTTTTTTGTACCGAAATTATTAAACACGGTGTTATTCATGGGTGTACTAGACTTTGATCGTAAAGGTTTTCGTGCGGATTGAGGGCGTTAGCAAGCTTCCCGCAGCAGGCTCCATGGTGCTATGGTGTGTGGGGGGCATGGTCTTTAAAGCTTAGAAGGAGGTAGGGCTTAAAGTTAGAGATTTAAGAAGGGACAGTAGGGCTTCTGGGTTTCAAGGCATGGGTTTGCAGTTTAAGGGCTTCGTGCTACAAGCTTATAAGAAATAGGAATGCCTCCAGTTTGGAAGTGTTTGGGGTTGTGAGCCTGGCGCATATTATTACTTAATGGTGTTGGGAGGGAGGAATCAGTGGATCCGCTCGCAGAGCCGTCATGGGAAGGAAAGGAAGGGAGGGAGGAAGTCGCAGAGTGATGGGCTTGGTGCTTTGAATGATCTCCGGTTCTGGCCCGTGCGGTTTCGGACTTGCACAGATTCGGGCAAGAAAGTCGAAGCTCGAAGCTCTAAATCTGAAGTAAGAATCCAACAACGCCCTATGGAATCCGACAGGACCCGCTGTGGAATCCTGTCATGTAAAACAGATCAAAGCCTGACAACTCCCTACAACAATCCATGCTTCGCCTTAAACCTGCGAAACTCTTTCCTAAATCCCGAATAGACCAAACAGCTGTCTTGGCTGGGCCTTCAGCGCTTCGACGCGAGGGGCCTCGAGGGCACCGAGTGCCGCTACCGGGACGTGGCAGCCTGGAGACTTTGGAGTGTATAGGCTGTAAAGATGTGTAAAGCAAGGTCTACAAAGGTGCTGGATATGATTCTTTTGCGGCATGGCCCGGTTCCGAGGATGTCATCCATGGTAAGATCCACGAACCTGCCCTTCTGTCTGGGCACAAAAGCACGAGAGCGCACCTCTCGTCGCTTGTCTCTAGCCTCTTTCCGCGCCCGACGTTGTTTTTCAAGCCGTTCCAATGCACGCCTTCTCTTTTCTTTCTGAGCGCACTTCTGTGCTCGCTTCTCCTCCTGCTGGATCTGTCTGCGCCATGTCCGCAGCAAGGCACGCAGGCGACACAGCATCAGTTCGGAATGTGTTTGCTTAGGTCGCACCGGTCTCGGTCTGTGGAAGCGCCGCATGTGCGCTGCCAGGTAGCATGGCTTGTCATGCAAGGCCATGTGATGGGACTCCCAATATCGCAACTGTCGCTCCCGATTTCCCGCACTGAGCTCATGCCTGGATCTCAAAATCTTCAAGGCATTCTCACTCGACAGCCCTTGGCTCTCCCACATCCACGCGACTACCTGCTGAAGCTGCTGCCACTGTTGCTCCAAGTGCGCAAGGCCGTGCTCCCAAAGCTTGCTGTTGCGTCCCAGGGAGGGCTTCTTCTTCTCCACCCAGCGCAGGCGGCACAAGCGCCTCGCGCCAGAAAATCACACCGAACGTGCCAAATCTACTCAGGCTGATTTGAGGTTCTACACGGTTTTTTGTTGCAAAGTGACAAAAACCCACAGGAGCCGAAAGGAGAAAACTACACAACTGTTCCAGTCAAACTCCCGATTACCATGAAAAACAAGACCATGCCAAACTGCTATTCCAGGCACTCACGCTGTTCTGCCAGATCGGTGGCACTTCGCACCCACGGGCAAGGCACCTTGGTCCCACTTAAAGGCTCTGGCGAGAGAAATCCTAAAATATCGAGACGACGAACCCGTACAAACAGTAGTAGCAACAGACTTCTACATCATGCTGAATATGCTGAGCCACTAGGTTGCTTTTACCCAGAAAGAATCCATGTGTGTGGCAAACTTGATAACGTAGCCCCAGCTCGTCAACACTTCGGCCGTGCTCTGCAGCGGAAGACTCAGCGGCTTGCTGGAGGCGGGAAGCATAATCGTTTTCGGTTCCAACCTGACTCATTCTTTGCTTCATAGCTGTCAAAATGACCAGATGCTCTAGCGCTGTTGGCAGGTCTGTGATTCTCGTACGTGTCCTCACGTTGTCAATACGAACACCCGCGCTGTACAAGAATGCTGTTCTGCTTCGAATTTGTTTTGTGTATATACCGCTGGTCACTGTTTGTCGTTGCTGGAACGAGGAGGAGGGTTGAGCTGCAGGCCCCTGGTGTAGTTCACGCCCGCCAGAAGAGCCGCAACCGGTGCTGCACGAATCCTGAAGGGCCAGCTGCGCCTGCTTCATGCGTCGGCTGGGAGGAGCCTGGGATTCCGAGGCAGGTGGTGTCGAGCTTACAAGTGCCTTTGGCACGTTCTGCGACGGCTGATCGACCATCCACTTCTCGAGCTGCATGCGTTGCTGCTGAGTGAACTCATCACGAATCACAAGCAAACGAAGTTCTGGTGTCAAATTCTTCAAGAGCGCGCAGACCTTTGGCAAAGAACTTGCTGCATTGCCTGTACGCCTTGACGCTGTTTGTGGAGGCCGCCGCGATCCAGACTCCTTCCTTTCGTCTGCATGCGGCTGACAGGTTGCCTGGCCGGTCTCCTGCTTCTTGCACTTGCCAGAGCTTGTAGACCTGCCAGGCCTCTTGGTAGAGACCTCTGCGCTTTTGCACGTTGGGCCACCGGTCTGCTTCATATCGTACTTTGCACGAGCTGCAGGGTCTGCCAGGATTTCGAAAGCCTGGTATGCCTGATGGAAGCTGTCCTGAAAGGGAATGTAATGTAGGGACCTTAATACCTAGAATCGGGTTTTGGGGCCCATTATACTGTTATAATGTATAATAAGGAACCCCCAAAATCGTATAGGTAACTATTAAGGCCGCTATAGCATCTTGAAAGACCGGCGGGCGGCTGAAGCGTGTCTTTCAACACGAGCATGCTGTGTCTCCCGAGAAAAAACGACAATGGTCACCTGTAGGTAGGGAAACTTACTAACACAAGCAAAGAAATAATACATGTGTGTATATATATATATATATGTTATCGACCTATGTAGCTAGACCATGTGCATGCATGTTCGCTTGCAGCCGGGGTCATTGCTACATTGTGACAGTGCACATGTTTGCGCTTGTCATTGCTCTGGGCACTTGGCTCTAATATCAACCAGCCAAGTCTGCACGTAAAGTAGTGCATATCTCGAGCGTGCGTACGTAAATGCGTATGCATGAATGTATGTGTACATATATATATATATATACATATATATATACACATATATATATATATAATATGAGCACCTTCAGCTATGACATATGTGCACACATCATAGATAGATAGATAATAGATAGATAGATAGATAGATAGATAGACAGATAGATAGATAGATAGATAGGTAGATCGACAGATAGATAGGTAGAAAGAAAGATAGATTGAGAGAAAGATAGATATAAAGATAGATAGATAGATAGATTAGATAGATAGATAGATAGATAGATAGATAGACAGACAGATAGATAGATAGATAGATAGATAGGTAGATCGACAGATAGATAGGTAGAAAGAAAGATAGATAGAGAGATAGATAGATATAAAGATAGATAGATAGATAGATAGATAGATAGATAGACAGATAGATAGATAGATAGATAGATAGCTAGGTAGATCGACAGATAGATAGGTAGAAAGAAAGATAGATAGATAGATAGATAGATTGATATAAAGATAGATAGATAGATAGATAGATAGATAGATAGGTACGCAGTTAGATGGAAAGAACGATAGGCATACATGTATATATATATATATGTACATACATATATGTATGTATTAGGCACATAAATGTAAAACACATATCTATCTATATTTATATATATATATATACACACCTTGTAGCGAACAGCCAACCCATAGAATGTAACCCTTCTGCACCACAAAGTACATAACATGTAGTTCGCGATGCGTTGCGAACTGAACGAGACTAACGGACATAACAGAAAATGCGTAGATGAACGGGACATCATACCATCACACAAATGTACAGTCTAAGGTTTACACTGCAATGGTTTACACCATTCAACTTAGCGGTCAATATAGGGTTTAGGGAGCCCCCCCCGCTCTGTATCCTTAAACTCCAGGCAGATACGACCTAGTCTGACACGGTCGAAGGCGCAACACAAAACGCGTCACATGCAATTAGGCACCCTGCGCAAAGTAGTAGTTTTGCACATGAGCAAAGCTCCTTGCTTCCACCTTTGTCTGGGTGGACCTGTAGCGCAAGGCGCTTGAAGGCGCACTTGATTTGATCCATCGTTGCATACCTCTCCACCTCGCAGGGTCTGATGTGCTCTTTACGTGTCAACTGTATACCTATGAAAACTTTTAACCCTAAACCCTAAACCCTAAACCCGGTGCTTCAGAATCGCTGTCTCAAAACCGACACCATGCTCGCCTCCAGTATTTCATAGAGCGATCGTGTAGCCATCGGAGCTCAACCGAAAGCGGAGATGCATGCACGCGTCATGCTCGGAGCAAGAGCTTTGTAGTTAAGGTTGGAGGTTTCAGGTTACATCAAAAGAGTCTGCTACCAACAATTCTTAAAACCCGATATGGATCCAAGCCGCAAGCTAGATGGATAGTCTGCGTCACAGGGTTCCATGCTCGTTGTGGAGTAGAAGCCCGAGTTGACTGATTCCCCATCTGAGGAAATCCAAAACCCTAAACCCTGAACTCTAAACCCCAACTCCAAGACCAGTTTGTGTACGTACCTTGAGCCGCCAGAATCAAAGACGTGTTCAGGGTTTAGGGTTTAGAGCCCTAAGCCCTTAAATGTAAGACCCTGAAGCCCTCAAGTTTGGAAGGAGACGCCCGATTCATGGTTCCCGGGTGCAAAATGTAAGTCGGCAACTCGGTGAAGGCTGCCCAAAACCTGCCTCGGATTAGAAAGCACCTCAGGTTCAGGGGTTGGGTGGTTTAGTGATTAGGGTTTGCGGGTGCAGGGGCTTTGGGCTAAAGTTTACAAATCCGAATTGAGGGCGCCGATTCAAGGACACCCTGTTCTGAGTGAACAGTATAGGGTTTTTCTTGCATATACAGGGCTGCTAGAGGCGTGATGCCTCTGGGCAATAGGCAGAAGCAGGCCAACGACCTGCTTAATCAAGTGCTTCCGCAGACCTCATCTTTCGAAACTCGAAGACACCTTTGAGTGGCATTCAAGATGGGCTTCGGGTGCAACCCCAGCCCGGAATACGTAAATTTGAAGGTGTATAACCCATCCGGAAACCAAACGTGAAACCACCCAAACCCTACGTGCCTACACTTCAAATAAAGAAGCCTAAAACCCCAAACCCAGTAGAACCTAAAATCCACCTAAACCCTATAACCCCATGAACCCTAAACCCTAGGGCCTAAGGCCCTAAACCCCAAAACCCTCTCGCAGCCTGAACAGCCCACGAAGACGCAAAGGTCGTTGGCTTGCGAAGGCCCTGCGCCCTGCCCCTCGCCGGGATTCGGGTGACGGAAGGAAACCCTAAACCCTACCTGAACCCCAAATAACCTACCTTTTTAAGGAACTATATAAAGAAATCATGATAAGGAACCCTAAAAAGGTAGGTTCTTTGGGGGCCAGGTAAACCCTAAATTTGGGTTTCGGGTTTACGGTCTCGGGTTTTGGGTTTCGGGGTCAGGCCCTTCTGAGGCTCCATGTACCTGTTCAGTATATACTTCCTAGCCGTAGTAACAACAGAAATAGTAGTACTAGTAGTAGCAGTAGCAGCAGCAGGAGTAGAAGTACAGTGTGCCAGGAATTTAGAACAATTACCTGGGCAAGATCGCCACGCAATCTTGCGATCTTGGTCTCGCCGACTAGTTGACCTTTTAGACCAAGATTGCGGCCAAGATTGCCAAGCAATCTTGCAATCTTGGTCTCCCAAAAATAAACTGGTTAGCTGGTCTCTAAAAGGTAAACTAGTCGGCGAGCAAGTGGGGCAGGGGCAAGATGACCAAGATTGCCAAGCAATCTTGCCCCCCGCGCCTGACCAAGATGACAAAGATAGCCAAGACGGTTCCGCAAAATAATTG